CTGTAAAAGAAAAGATTTGGGGCCCTTGAGAACTTGTCTTATATACTTATATATACACGCATATATTATATATATAATTTATATACTTGTATATAATTTCTTTAAACATTGATTGGGGAAGCACCTTAGAGGCTTCAAGTCGGCTCCTGTAAGGGGGCAAGGAGAGAAACAGGGCAAAAATCCATGAGGTGTGTTTTCAGGCAGCACTTTTTTGACGAGGATCCCACTTCATGTTTATCCAACAGGAGGGCAAGAAGAAGAAAAAGGAGAAAAAAAGAACTGAAAGTCTCATGCATGCATCTTGCACTTCCAAGAACAGAATACAAAGTTTTCAGTCAATTCTTACAGATAATGTTCCTTTATCATCATATAAAGGATTTTGAATTTAAGTTTATAATTAAAAACTAACAAATCCATCTTAAGTTTCACATATTTGCATCAACACCGATCCTAAGTGGAGCCACATTGCCAGAATCTCCTGAGAGGCAGTGATGCTCCATACTTAAGAGGCAGGACAAGCAAAGACAATTCAGCAGCTAGTAAACCTGCTGTGTTTCTGTGGTTTGCCAAAGTCCAGGATTCCTTTGTTCCCTGCTAGCTTTCTATGAGGTTAACAGTGTTTACAGGGTGTACCAGGTTAAAACTCACTATAGACAAGTAAACTAACTCCAAGCTTCAATTACTCTTTACAAAGTATGTTTTCACATAGATGGGTTCATGGGAATCAAAGGAGTTGCTCTAATGCATTGCTGAGCTGCAAACGCGACACCTGCACGTACAGAACTGTCATCTTAATTCGGAACTACGAAAAGCTGGAGCACAACAAAGTTCCTGTGCAACGTGTGACAGCAGCACAACCGCCTGCAGTACAAAGCAAGCCATGGAACCTACTCGACACCTTGCCTTTCCGTAAGGGAAGGAAGACAGCTCATGCTTTAGCCCGTCTTCTTAGCTGAAACGCTTTCCTGGAAGGGTGTAATTTTTCCTATTCTTTGAATGTAAGGAATTATTTTTTTTTTTACCAGTCTCAAGAATTTAACTAGAGTGTTTATGTGCTCACTTAGTACTAAAATACTTGTGTTGACTCTCAATGTTTTCTGGGGGTCATCCCCTAAACACATTGATTTGTCATATTGTGGAAGCCCAGCTAAACCCCCTTTTTTATTAAAAAGGAAAAAGAAAGAAACAAATTTCTAACTGTCATTTTATTTATGTCTGAAAATCAAGACAGTGGTCTTTGTTGTACTGGGCATGTTACAAGCAGTAAACTGTGTACAAGAGCTGGCATTTCACATATAGGTTCTTGTACTTAGTAGGGAGTGGAGTTACTGATTCTCCCTCCTAGATTTAGAAGTATAAGGTAAAACTGCTACATGGTGTGAAAAAGGTGAAGTATACTGACCAAAGAAGGAACTCTTAACTTCTGCTACAATTTCACTCAGTATCCAAGCTTGCAGAAATGCCCCACCCCCAAAAAGACATTACACAAATCAATGAGAAATTACAGTGTGTTTCAAATGTCAACCCAGCCACCACCTCGAAGAATAAATCCTGGTGGCAATGAACTTTCTTAAAACGATGAAGCTGTAGAGCTCGTTGTATCAGCAGAATTAATATTTCTTGAGGCTGAAATGAGTACAATGGAATTGTGAAGACATTCATTTCTCCATTCACAAATCTCTCCCTAAAGAACATCTCACTGAAAACAGGAAGCCACCCTCTGCTCAATGATTCAGAACTCTGAAAATAAATGGGTTTGGAGGTTATTAAAAAAAAAAAATCAACCCAAACCAACACAAAACAACAACAACAAAAAAACAACTAAAAAAAACCCAAAACACAAGCCCATCAAAAAACCCAAACACAGAAAAAAAATTTAAAAAACCCCCACATTCATCTGTTTGAAGTCCAAATATTGCAACATTGAGAACAAAATCAAGACTATGAAACAACTTTGCTTATAGTTTCAGACCAAGAATGTAAATAGTTTGTGACAAATGTATCATTCCGGAGTTTTACTTTACAGAACACAGAAGCTAAGTTAGATTTTAAGAATCTTTGAGTTGTTCATAAACCTTGCAGAGAAAAGCATAAGGTGCCCGAGACTCAGAAATAACCCAAGAGCTCTGCTTCTGTAATGAACTACATGCAACTGCGTTTTCTTACATATTTAAGCATCTTTCTGTGCTTTTATTCTTTTCCCCATACACGGGCAAAGTAAAAGCTGTAAATTCAACTGCTGTTGGGACAGCAGTTTAAAACTGGCCAAAAAACTTTGTAAGCTGATGATTGGCTGCATCTTCATATTAATAGAGCGCTGTATACAGACTACCATTTTTGACCATTCACACCTAGAAATAACTTTCTACTGTTGATATGTCTGAAGTCTCTCTAGAATTAGTACAGTATTGTGGCAAAATTTCTCCTCTTCCAAGTTACTTCCAAAACCAGCAAATTTTAGAAGACTTTGGGAAAAAGCCACCCAGTTTGATTCACCCATAGTTTAGAGCATTTTAAAAGAAGAAAATCCTCCTCTTTAGTGTTCACCCCAGAGGAAACAGCAACTCTAATTCCACCAGAAAGAGAAAAATGCAGTTTAATCCAAAATCCAGCAGGATTCTCCTCCCATTTCTAGCGTTGCAGTGTCAGTACACGTTATGAAACAATATCTAACTCTACAATACTTTTCCACAAGCTGTGTTCTCTTATGCAAAAGAGCAGCAGGGGTCTGAGCTTACGGTGCGTTCGCTCGGACATCTGAAGACATCTTGCAAAGGCTCAAAATGTTCCCCTAAATTGGGCAAGTAGACATCCATTTCACAGAGTAATTCGAGGATGAAGAAAGGTGTTAGTAACAAGGTAAGAGATGTAAATTTATGCTGACAGACAAAAGTCCTAATAGGAAGAGTGCATTTCCGTTAAGTAATATTTCCGTATTTCAGGACATAAACATTACTTTTTCCATAGGGAACTCAGACATATAAATACTGACATATACCAAGTTCAGATTAGGGTGGAACTAAACCTTGGTGTGCACTGTAAGTAAGCATAAACTAACTTTACAAGCAGTAATACATGTGTATTAACACTGAATTGGAAAACTAACTGCATTGGTCCTCAAGATATGAATTATGCATCTTTTCATCCAGAGCTTTATGAGGAGGGTTCTGTTTCTGTACAAGTAGTTCAAGCGTGAACTTCTTAAGCGCTGGTACACAAAGCAGTTATCCTGAAGACATGTAAAAGTTTGTTCAAAAATTTCAGCAGTCGGGATTCTTTTCTAGAACTGGTAACCGCTTACATAGTTTCAATTCCTGTGGGGAACTGGATGTTCACTTGCTCAGCGGGAACAGCTTCTTATGCCGTAATTATTTAGATATGAAGAAAATTTTCCTGTGCTTTTCCTTATGCTCCATGTCCAGCACTTCCTCAGCATCAATCCCTTTGACAACCAGGACACTGCTCCCTTGAAGCCTGCCTAAGTTTTCAAGCAGAAAAATACTGGGTTTTAGGGATTAGCTGGGTTATGATGTGTTGATTTTACAGATCTGGCCTAAGTTCTGAATATTGGAGGGGGAGAAAGTGTATTTCACTTTATAGCACAATCTTTAGATGATAAAGCCTGAAATTTCTGAAAACTTTACTTTCCTGGGGTCTGATCAAACTTACTACCTCTACTGCTGAGGAACTATTCCACCGAGCCACTAAGAATGCTTCCCCACAGAGCTTTCAGGACAAGGCCTGACGTTACCTGTAATCGGTACTCTTTGGCTGGACACAGACCAGACCAGGGCCCCCTCCCTGATGTTACCAATGAATTTCTCTCCCTCCCACTCAATGCCATCTGTACAGCTGCCTGGAAAAGACACACATTAAAAAGAACACAGATAAAAGGGCAATTGGGACATAAAAGCGTTTTAAGACCTGAATAAGCAGAGGATGAAAGTGAAGGGAGGAAAAATACTGATGAGCTCACCAACGAGGAAGGTACCTAGCGAAAAAGGAACTAGAGCATCCAGTGCTCCAGTCTCATCTACTCTGGGAACCACTCAGGATGAGGAGAGTACTGGGAGGTATTTATGGGGATCATCAACCACATGTTCTGGTTTCTAATGATAAATGAAAAGGAACTTCAGTATTAACTCTGACCCCAAAGAGTGTGTTACCTCCACTAAACCATTGTGATGACTGATGAAACTGCTGGCAGGAAGGATCAGCTGGGCTCCTTAATTCACTTTGGGCAACATAAACTATCTCAAAGCTTACCGGTATTAGCTAACCTAATCTGATTGAATTTGCAGGAAGGAATTAGAACAAGCTCTGTAATTCTGTGGCAGAGAAACAGGAGGTACCAAGTATTTGGGTGTGACATTAATTTTCAGCAGCACAGCCAAGATCAGGGAATCATCCACAGTCCACACGTTCCACCTCACAGGCCAACAGTGTTAACAGATATTTAACAGCCTGCAAAACTCTACACCCAATACTGCAAGAATGCTCTCCTGCAGATTTCCTTGAAATCAAATAAGTATGGTTTAATCATGCAGAAAAATCAAATTTTCTCCCAAGAGATTTTTTTTTCTTTTAGCTACACTAAGTCAATTTTAACAATGAATTCTTGCTGGAAAGAAGGAAAATAGCAGGCAACGTATCTGCAAGTTGCCAAAGCAGCCCCTCAAAGTCTGACCTTTGAAGGCAGATATTTTTCTGAGAGACTTTCTCCCCTACATTAGAGCTTTGAATATTCCAAGTCCAAAACTGTAAATGGAATTTCATTCAGTCAGAAATTCATCCACCCTACTTAACACATGGGATGCTCTTAGAAGAAATATCTACAGTATGTACTTGTCAGAAGACAAAGCCATAATGGTTCCTTTTCATCCTAAGACGTATGGATCTGCACTGTGCAAGAGACATTAAGAAAGAAAACAAAAATCAATATTTACTAGCACTACTAAAGCACAAAACATTCAAGTAGTATATAACTGTAATGCAAGCCCTTGCATGGCAATCCAAATTTATTGAACTACTGATGCTAAGTCATACAAAATTGCACCACTTTAATTAAGGCTTTTAGTTTACATTTGGCCACCTCAAAGCAGTTGTAACATTAGGTTGGTCAATTTAAATACTGTGGCTCCCTGTTGGATATACACACAATCTTTACACCCAAACGTTAATGCATACAAAGCAACAAGGCATTGTTAAATAAATCAGCAAAAGTTAATTACTGCAACTTAGGCCCTGTGACCAATTACACATGATTAAAATTACTTCCCACATTCACATCCACAGTACTCTTCCACCATTTAACATCTCAACCAAAACGTTACACATGTAAAACAATCACTAACAGGCAAAAGTACTAAACCTGTATATTTGGTATTGCAAATACACTTATGCATGAGCAAGCAAGGGAATTCACAGTGAGAATCTACAGCTGCAGAAGCCCAAAAATGATTTACAAAAAATTGTTAAATCATTAAAAAATCGTTTTAAAATATACACTTCTTGTTGTAGACCCCCACTGTACACACAACTATAAACATTGTTCCCTATGTAAACAAGGAAAAGGAAACATACAATAAAAGGTTGAAAAGTCTGGACATTTCCTTCCCAACAGATATTAAAGGCCATGTCTTTAGTCAGACGTTATACTGAAAGGACTCTTAAAGACTAGGTCACTGTCTCCACAGGTTTTTTCTAAAATTAAAAAACTATATAGCTGTTGTGTTAATCAAAGCGCTTTTGTACAATACGATGATGATGATCCTGTATTTCTTTAAAAAAGTTACAATAAGCTACAAATACCGATGAAGCAAAGTTATCTGGAGTAGTCTATATAGGAGCTCTTTGGACTTTCTTTTATTATGCTAAAATAGTGGTGCTTTTAGGATTTACATTATTGTACTCTCCAATAGAAAGTGGGGATTGTTGAAGTATACAGTACACAGTTTTCATACATGTACAACATTGGTGGATGAACAATGTCTCTTATCAGTAATACTGGATGTAGGCTCTGGTTTTACCAGTTGCATACACTTAGAATATTTATAGGTAAAAATCTCTCGTGACACTGGAAAGTGATTAGAATGTGCAAACTGATGTAGTAGCTTTCATCCATTTCTTTAAGGGTACCACCACAGGAAAGTCCATTTAAGATGTTGGTAGGTTTAATAAAGTTGGAATGCTGGCACTGTTGAGTTGCGCAACAGTTCTTCAGACCTGTAACAACAAAACAAGAGGTTAGTGCTAGTAACAACTATTTCCCTTTTCTCTTTAGTTAAAAGAACTACAGCAGAAACTAGCAAAGTTCTTAGCAAACAGACTTAGAAAATAACCTTACCACTTCTCTACGAATATAACCCCTACTGTACATATACAAGTAACAGACTATCTCCGTTAGTAAAACTGAATTGGGATACACATGGTTAATCCAAGCTGAACTGTGGAAATAGCATTTGATGGGTGGGACCAGCTTGGCAGTATGACAGTTGCAGCGGCTTTAAAAACCAAGAAAACCCCCACATTTGAGGCATCAAAGCTCCTGAATCTACAGCTAATGCTTTTGCAACCCTCTCAGTTTTACTTTGAGCCGACCCAACTTGTTCAAATTAAGTAAGTTTTGTTATCAATACAAAAAACAAAATTAAAACAGGGCACTATCTGAATATTAATAAAAGCATACATATGGCAGTGAAACATCCTACTAGAATCCTCCAGTGTATCAAATAGGTCTTGGGATGACAAAATAATGGATCACAGCACTGAAACAACTGCACCACCATACATCTAGTAAAACTGAAGGGCATCAAGATGAACAGGCAACTAGCATGATGTCAGGTCCATCAAGAGACCTCTGTCCATACTAAGGCTTTAGAGGTGGAAAGGGGAAAACAGCCTGCCCAAGAACATGTTGGGGGGGGAAAAAAAAAAAATCATGCCTGCTACCTAAACTTCTGAAAGACTTGCTTAAAGAGCAGGCTGGAGTTTGCTTGAGCCTTCAGCAGCATTCTGAAAGCATGGATTTAGTCATGTAGAGCATTAGCCAACTGCCAATGAGTTAGAAATTGATCTAGTAACCAGTAGCTCCAGGTCAAATATTTGGAATGCTGCAGTGATCACTTCACTGTTCTCTTCCAAATGCAGTAATTGCAATGCAGCCTATAAAAAATACCCCTACACTCCAAAGCCAGCTAAATTGCTATGACATCATGCAAATACATGCAGGAGTCCAAAGCAGGAAGTGATACCTTAGCATGCAAACTGCAATATTCTATAGTGTGCGTTCCTGATAATTGAGCTCTTGTAGTATACTCTATCAGCATTTAAAAAAGCCAAAATCCTACTTCCAAAAGCTGAAGGTTTTGAAGTATCCTTAATTTGAGCTCTACCAACACCTTCAAGCTTGGAAAAAAAACCCCTGATATTAGTGTGAACAGTGTATCTTGCACATATTTGTAGTTCTGACTTTGCAATGGCAAAATAAAGACCATAAAATTTTATATGATTATGTAAATCAAGATTTTTCAATGCTGTTCTGCATCAATAGCTACCTTACTTGTTTAGGTTTGTCATTATTTTGAATAGCAATAATACACAGAAAATGTTAAAAGGTTTACCTGGCTCAGAGCTACAGTACAGCTATGTATTAAAGTAGCTGACATGATGACTTTTTGCGTGCTTTTCCAGGCACTGGAGTTTTTCTGTTAATTTGTCGCACAAGGTCATAAAAGATCTGAGAATATAAAAATTATTGGAATTAAGAGGCTTCCCTCATAAACTTAAGCCTTGAATATTCATGCATAATATATTCACATGCTCATGAACCCCTGTAAATATTTAGTTATAACAAAGCCAGAAAGTTAAATTGTATACCTAATTAATAGCTGTTTATTTTCTGTTTAAGATAATTGTCTGACAAGGCTTTTCTATCCAGTTTTGATGAAGCAAACTGGAAAGGCATATATAATCTGCAGACGTTTAATCTGAGTAAAATTTATCTGAACATGCGTGATATATGTCCCAATGACGAACTACTACATGTTGTTACTCTGCAATTTATCAACAAGGTCAAGAAACAGGCCACAGCTTTCTTCTAACTCAATTCACTCAAGATATTTTAAAGAAAGTTCTAGTAAGTTTTAACTCCACATTTTCATGGTAACTCAAGCACACTGCATATTTTGTTAGTCTCTTGTATTCAAATGAAATCATGCCTTCCCAGACACTTTAAAAATACTGAAGTTTAGAGGATTAATTCAGCAGTCTCTCTAGGACTACAGTATGACGTAAGCGTAACATTTCCTAGGAAAGTAACTCATGCATGAGTCTCTCACACTCTGAATCTCCTCAAATTCTAATTGGAACATGATTTTGTTGAAAGGCTAATTTAAGACAAGTCTACATACCACAACTGAACAGCATCTGTTTTGTTCATAACTGACATTGTTCCAATTATTTCTGCATCTCCTAAGTCAAAGAAGTCCTCATACTAAAGCCATTCTAGCAGTTTCCTAAGCACTGGCTGCAAAGCAGCAAACATTCCAACATAGGCTTTTAGTATTTGATGAAAGTGTGTTCTAGTTTATTAAACATATGACTTTTATATCATTAAGCTGATTAATTTGTAGTTAAGAATAACAGAATAGTTTCCAGAAATTCCTAACTAATTAAACACACATTACTTATTTTTAAAATCAGCTGTGCTTAAAACCACCATACTCATTTGATTACATGCAAATCTCACACAGAGGCCATTTCAACTTGACTGATGCTGACAACAATGTTTTCCAGAAGGCACAATGAATTTCAGGGTTTATCATAATATTCAAACTGTTCCAGAAACGTAAACACTACCACAGCTTCTTTTTCAAAAGTGTTTTGCATCCCTTCCTTTATGCTGGCAGCCCGACTGGGTAGGAAGGCATGCGCTATGGCAAGTCCCAAAAATGCATGTGTTTGATCAGTCACCTAGCTCCTGCTAAATAAATAAGTAGCTTTTGCCTCCCTTTTTCTTTATGGAGCACCTATTTAGGTCTCTCCTCTAATCAGCTGCTAATTTGGACAAAACTCCCTAAGAGTTTTTGTCCTTACCATCTCAAATAATTTAATACCAAGTAACTTAAATACTTTTAAGGATTTAATTCTCCTAAAGGTCTTTTAAAAAACAAAAAAGGTAGCCTAGCAGGGCCTTCTCAGTGGATACAGATGATATCAACTAGGGAATGCAACATGAAAGAGGTATTTTTCCCAAATTCATACAAATATAATTTGAAAACTAATTATACTAGAATTAACATAATTAAAAAAACCTCTTAAGTCAAAGCTAACTACATCCCTTAGTAGAACCACCTCGAATCCTCCCAATAGTTTTGTCCATTACAGTGAATGTTGTTCATAATTTTGTTACTTTTTCTTGACAAACGGTAATGTCTGGTTACCAGAACAGTGTCCCATCCTTCTCTCCCTGCCACCCCTCCCCCACAGGCAGTGTGTCTTACCTCGTTAACATTTATCTTTGATTTTGCAGAAGACTCTAAGAATGCACAGTTATTCCATTGCCTTGCTAGGTTCTGACCTTGTTCTTTTCCCACAACTCTTTCATCTTCCAAGTCACACTTATTGCCAACCAGAATCATAGGCACCTAAAAACAATTTAATACCAGCAAAGAATTCAAAAGTGGCGTGTATTGGGAAGCATGATGGACACTAAAGCTCCTCTTGCCAACCCCCAGCGTATCTGCGCTGGTTTGCTCACACAGTTCTTACTAGTAAGCTGATGCACACAGAGGAAAGAAACACCCTGGCTTATCAAAATTACTAATTATAGAAAACAGTGCATTGACCTCTGTGGCAAGAAAAAGCAATCATACAAGGGTTAGGGGGTTTTCCTTCCTTTTACTAATTTGACATATCTAAGTTTCTCCCAAATTCAAGTGCTGAAAAAAGGTTTCCACTATTTTGACCACCTGCTTCCCCCCACTGAGAAAGCAAATCACGCCTAAGTTTTGGCATAGGAAAAACTTCCGTATATTCTGGTAAGAACTAAACTTGCAACGTGAAGCCAGTTATTTTTCTCCTGCTATTATGGAACAACTTTCAAGATTGAGGAGAGTGTTTGAAAGAGAAACACAGTTCCAAGGCAATACAGCAAAGAAAGCTTATGCAAATCAGTATGAATATACCATGTAAACAAACGTTTCAAATACCACATTTATCTTTTAGTGTACAAAATTCATTTGATGCTAAAACTCAGTTCTGGGTGGGAAAGGCACATGCAACTTAAATACTACCTTTCTGAGATACGTTTCTGATAACGGGTAATAAACTACATCTAGAAAACAATATGCTGAAGATCAGCAAGGCCTACAAATGCTTACGCTTCAGAAAGTGCAAGGTGGTCTGTATTACAAGAGTCACAACGAACTTCCTCGAAACTGAAACATTTAATACATTCTGTGACTGCTGGCAGCAGAAGTATAGGTGGATATATGCAGTAAGAAAAGCATCAAAGTTTCCATGAGCACAGTTTAAATGAGATGAGCACACTTAAAAACTCTTCATTGCTAACTTCCCCCCCTGAAGACATTCCGTCTGATGGCTACAACCTACAAGGTGTTTTGTTAAAAACCACACTTTTACTGCTGTTTTACATCTGAAATAGCTTTCTTCTTTTTATTAAGGGACTAAGTATTCACTTTCTACAACTGCAGTAAGGTTTTTTTTAAATCAATTATAAACTGGAATGTTTTAGCCACTCTTTATAGCTTTAAAAATGCTAAGAGGTGCATATCGAAATTGTGTGAATATAACCAAACTTACTTGCAAGCACACACACAAAATAGAAAAGCTACATAACATGCAAGTTTCAAGTTTATAGCACTGACTTCGCTGGGAACACAGAATGTTGTGCTTCTAAAATACCATAAACAGTAGGCATATTGAAAAGAAACACTGAATTGCAGGTTCTTTTAAACCTTCACTGACAATAATTGTGGTAAGAATAGAATAGAGTTGCTGCAGTAATATTTTCTGCAGTACAAGTGAATAAGTTTATATACATTTTCAAACAGAATATTTTAAAGGAAGAAATTATAGAGACAATTCTCTTTATATACCACACGACAATCTACAATGCCTCCAGTTTGCCTTAAGAGTTGCATTTCTGTACCATTTGATTTGTTTCTTAACTTAAGGCTTGGAAGCTATCTGATCACAGTGTATACATCACAACATCTCTAATGAAAACTCTAAATCTAAGTATTAAGCATTTTTAGAGATGCTTACATCATCAGTGTCTTTGACTCGAAGAATCTGTTCTCTTAGATCCTGTAAATCATTAAACGTGGACTGTGCTGTGATGGAATAGACTAATGCAAAACCTTGTCCATTTTTCATGTATAGGTCTCTCATTGCTGTAAACTGTTCCTGTAATAAAAAGAAGAGATACACAGATGTTGCATTCAGTTTGTACTTTCCTTACACAAACTGTCATATACTTCAGGTCACAAATGGACCACGAGTATGATGCATTTGTGCTCTCCCCGCCTTTTCAAATTGACCAATATTTTACTGTTTGACTATAAGCATTACAGTAAACTGAACTGCTTTTAAATAAGTTTGGTTCTGAACATTATTTGGGGTGGCTGAACAATATCTAGATACTGCCCAGGGCTATACTACGGGGGAAAAAAAAAAATCACTAAAGAAAGTGATGTCAAAAGAGAGAAGGTATAGTACAAGGTACAGTGTAATCTGTAGATTACAGAATTTTCATTCCTCCTGAAGCTTCCTCACATACCCACTTTTTCCTGTCTCTTGACCATTCCTTAAAACACATCGTGAAGTAAATGCAAGCCTTTTCAGTGCCCATTTTGTAGTCTGGGCACTTTCCTATGTTAAGTTCTTTCCTTTTCAAAGGGATTGACTAGAGGATGGAGACAATAGACTTGACACATTTCCTAGGCTTTGGTGACAACTACGACACTGTGTATGAAGTATACCCTAACCCTAATGGTGCACTGCACAGCAGCACTGACACGTCTACCAGTTTGAGAACTCTCACCAGTATGACTGTGGAACAGCATTTGCCTCTCTTTGCATTGGTGACTTGGCTATCTTGTGACTATCAATCACTTGCCAAGTCTCTTGCTGTCTGTCAGATGAAAGTCCAATATAATTTGAGACAGCCACCACTCCATCTTTCTGTAATTTTACATGGCCTTACTCTAATATTGAATTTAAATAAGTCATTACTGGACCATTCCTATTACAGTTCAGAGAACACATGCTACACTCCAAGCGTCTTGGCCTTGTGCTCACGGAACTCAATGAGGGAACTGACTGCTTTCAATAGATTTTGGAACAAGCCAGAGAAAAACCAGACCAGTATGCAAAGGGTCAGCATAAACCCTGTGCTTTTGAGTTCACATAAGCTGACTAAAGTGTTACTATTTTTATCCCAATGTCGAAGTACATCTCACACACAAAAGAAAAAGGGAGGGGAGATGAAAGCACATATTCTCTACAGCAACAGAAATCAAACCCGAGTAACCATCAGGCCTAAATTTTCCTCTGGGCAATTTAAACTGAAAACAGGAGCACTACCTCTTTTAAAACTCTCAATCTCATGTTGCCCCTATTTTACAGAACATGAGCTCACAGGACACTTGCAATTCATTTTCTGCTGCAATACTCAGGTTTGGTTTCAATACCAGTATGTTAAAGAACATCCTATAATCCAACACACTGACCCCAGTTACTTTTTAGAGACTGAGTAATGAAATGCATCATCATTTACATCCTTACAGCTTTTGATGGTTTTAGTATCAGGAAAGTTGGTTTTACATACCGTTCCTGCAGTATCTAAGATTTCAAGCATACACTGTTGTGCATCTACTTCAACTTGCTGTCAAGAGAGAAAGATGCCGTTAGAGTTTTTCCTCTTGCAACTCTCCCCTCCAAAGACACCAGGAATTGTGCGATTTTTATAAGCAAATTCATAATGCATAAAGCAACATAATGGCTTAAGAAGTTTATATGGATATACACTTTGAAAACAGCAGGAAGAAACCTTTCAAAGAGCCCTAGTGACATTTTCAAAAGCAGCATCAGCAGCCAAGTACCACTTTGCAAAGTGATTAGGGATTTTTGATTATTAAAAAGGACGCTGCTAAATTTGTAATGATGGTTATCAGCAACCAGCACAACTACTTGTTTCAGGGTTCATTCACAGACTGAAAGAAAAGTACAGGTGAAAGCTAGAGAGTTGGATTAGCATACTAATGCTCATTTAATAGTGATTTAGATCAACAAGAGAATAGGTAGTACAGAACAAACAATAAACCTAGCAAACCACTGAGAGTGGTGTCCCCAAAACAAGCCTTTAGTGACACCAATTAGGAAACTGATTCAGCTTAGAAAAATTTACAAAAAATAGAAGGTTTAAGAAGCCAGATCAGTTATTGTATTTACTTCAGGGCTCCTTTATCTAGTTCTACCTCAAAAAAGAAAAAGAAAAAAGTGGCCTTGAGGGCAAAGGACATGGAAGTGCCCTCAAGGTTTTTCAAGACGACTACATAGAATTTTTTTTTTTTTCTTTCAAGCTATCAGTACACTTCCCTTGTTTCTCTCTGCATGTAAAATTCCTAATTGGCAGAGGAGCAGTCAAAGAACTTTGTGTCCCCTATTCCCGATATATGCGTTACCACTAGTTTAACTTCGAGCTTTTCCTTTAAGTAGATTTGAGACTGGGGAGTATTTCCACTTCTCTCACACCTCCCCCCACGTCCCCGAGGGATGGAGGATGATATTCCTTCAATAGCCACTATTTTAGCATGTATTGCTGATGAAGTTATTCAGCTAATTAAGCAGCATCTATTCTTTTTATGAAGAAATATTTGGGGAGTAACCCAAGGCATCGAGTTTCAAGACTTCACACTCAAATTCTGTAGTTCCCAGACAAACAAAAATATTTCAAGCCATATCCTCTCAACTTCAAATATTATAAAATTAGATTTAAGATTAATAGCACAGAATTTCAACTGCCAAATCAATACATTTTAATGTCACCCAAGTCAAGCAGCAAGTTAGAATTGTAACTAGTAGTGAGGGGAAGAAAATGACTGCATAAGGTGTTGAGACTTAAGCAAGACCTCAACAATCTGGCTGATTTGAAAAGAAGAATACACATGGATATTTCTAGTCATTTCAGGACCAAACCTGAAAGGAACATAAGATCTTTGCTAAAAAAATTACTTAGCAAAAGGCAACATTTCTTGAGATGGCTTTACTTTCTCAGGCTCCATGGAAACAGTCTTTGGAAAAATTCACCCAGCAAACATCATGAATCTAGTATGACCTGAAGAATGTAAATATATAACAAAGGAAACATTTCACTTTAGTACAGCTTGTGAAAATTTTTGGAGTAATTTATTAGGCCTGACCCAGGGAAGGCCTGTACTTAACATCAGGATAGGATCCAAAATTTCCTGTGCTCCTCTAACACGGAGAAAGTAGCTGTATAGAATTTTTTGTTGCTGTTGTCTCTTTAATAAGAGTTCTATCTTTGGCTGGATTTTTCCAGCACATAGATTTCTATGAGGTCAAAGAAAACAACTGTGAAATTATAATTTTGCTCACATTAATTTCTTTCTGTTTAGAAGTGATTCTGGCAACTACAGGCTGCAATGGCTGTTAATGCAGCCTGTTTATTCCAATATAAACGTAGCCCAGTGCTGAAAGAGGAGTTACTGCAGCTTTTACCCACTCCCGGTTAGGTTTTGTGCATCTTGCCTCCCTTGCATTGACACTGGTATTTTTGTGGCCACATGGTGAGCTACATCAGAGCATCAATGCATATGAAAAGTAAATCAGCTAGAAAAAAAATTTAAGAAACTGACACAGCTGAAAACTAATCTGCGTCACCAAACGGTTAACTCTCTTGGTAGCAGTCCAGATGTAAACTATCTTAGCCTGGAATATTAATCATAGTCTCAGCTGAAACTGAAGACTGAACAATATGGAGATTCAAGATGAGGCAAGCAGAGTCAGACCTTTCAGCCAGTCATGCTGATGATGGGAAGAGAGAAACTAACAGGCCACTCTAAGTGTTTGTTCATTTATGATAGGTTTGTGTTAACATTAATAAAACAACCACCCATCTAATGGAAGCCTATCAACCTATCAGTCAAACTGATAAGAATACAGTATGTTGCCTCCAGTTTTCTAAAGGTGAGCCTCAGCTTGTTTTTAGCAGATTTTCCTAGTAGCAAAGAAGCTTAGAACCTCCAACATACAGGTCTAAAACCACCTTCAGAGACTAACACACACACAAAATAATAATAAATATTATAAAAAGAGTGGTAGTTTAGTTTACTTGAAAAAAAAAAATCAACGTTCTCAAATCTGACAATGAAATTACTGGTTTTTACTAGCTAGTACAGTATTATGCTTAAACGTTAAAAAGCTAGTTTTGAATTATTCCTTTTAGACAGACTTTGTGAACACCTTTACATTTCAAACTTGCTAAGTTTACCAGGTGTTACGTGGCATTACCAGGCATACTAATTTTCAAGCAATGACTCAAATATTTGACACTGCGTACTGCAGTTATAAGTTTCTGTAGCACTATTGAGGTCTGTTGCATATACCTTTCTGTAGGAGTCTTCTATCGTAGGATCGTATTTTTCAACAAATATTCCTTGAACAAACTGTACAGTCTGCAACACAAAAGTTCTTGTAAGATTCTCCTCATATAGTGACATTTTGTAAACACAGTACACGAATTAACTGTTCTAGGTGCGTACTCAGTTATCCATTACATTTTTGAAGGGAAATTAAGTGATGACAAACCATAAATTGTAAGAAAGAACAGGCAGTTAGATGTATATGCCTATTTTACTGTTAGATGAAGCAATGCTATACCTTCCTTTATCCACTCTCACTTGGACTGTAGAGAAATAAAGGATGTATTGATTTAAGGTTTGTCCAACTGCTGGAATCATTATTAGTTTTTAGTGGAATAGGATACTGTATACAGCTGCATGGCTTTTACATTTGCATTTAGAACTACTGCACCTTCTGTTACTTATCTGCCAGCATAGGAATTAGTCAAAAAACGAGCCAGCATTTAACAAGTCTTAACTAGACTCAGTAGGATCTTCCTGTGTACCTAGCACGTAGGACGTTTTTAGCACAAGTCAAGTGGAACTTTAAGACTCAGTGGCCAAGTCAGAGCCGACAGGTTCAAATCCAGAAATGCTGCAGTAAGATAAAGAATTCAGAGGTGAAGGAAAAAGTTCTTTCACAATCTAGAAACATCTGTCGTTTAAGTTTTCCTTTAGGAACTGCTTTGTAAGAGAACAGTTCTTACCTGATAGAGTGGACCTTTAGACCTTATTTTATGATAAGGTGCACAATTAAACTGAAAGATGTAAAGTTCTTCAGTGGGTTAAGCACATAATCTGTGAGCTTTTTCACTGCTAGCCTAGGTGAGACTGAACTTTTCTGTAACTGTTTAACTAAAATGCACGAGCTCCTTGGTTTACGTGCCGCAGCTATACCCCTACTTGCCGGGTAAGATGCAAAAAACATGCTAAACAACTTCCTACAAATGAGCTAATATCTATCTGTATTTGCATAAGAGAAATAACTAGCACTTTAGAGACTGCTATCAAACATTAAGCAAATAGCACCCTGAAGACCTTTCTAGAAGCAGGAGTTGGTAACTTCTGACACAGGCAAACTAGTTTGTTGTGTGAGTTTCATGAAGCAGCTTGATTTCCCACAGACCTGTGGCTGGGTTACCCACTGAAGCCAGAGACCTTCATAATGCCGTGGCTATGCACTTCACTGTATAAGACAGGCAGAGATCTGATCAAGCATCATCAACCAACCCTGAACAAAAATATTAGCATGAGAGCACACGCCAATGGATGTGGAAACACCCAGTAAGAGATGTACCTATTCTAGCCAGAAATGCTCAGCAGTCATTACTTACATTTATGTTTATTTGTGCACACTTACATTAAAAAAATAAGGGTTAGTAGAGAGTGTATTAGAGAAAGACACAGGAAAAGCCTAAGAAAAAGTACTTGAACTGCTTTACAGCGTACTTACCAGAGCAGACTTTCCAACACCTCCAGAACCAAGAACTACTAGCTTGTATTCACGCATGATGCAAGAGATAAATCACCCTCAATACCTACAACACACAATAAACCATTCACCATTTTTATCAACTGGACAACTACTTCAGCATTACTACAGCCATAGTAAGATTGCATATATAAAAAAGACATAAACAGTCAAACATTGATGTCAACTGATAAATACAGGAGAGAATCCATTATAAACAGGCATAACCTAAGCAGGATGTCTTTATTTTTTACATATTATGGAAATGATGTACATTTATTCAAGACACTGTAACTGTTGAATGATACTACTTTTTCATCTAGCACAAGTAAAGTCCCTCCAAGGTTTTCTTGTTACCAGGATTTTAACACTTAAAGACCACCATTATCTGTGTGTTATCTAGCCTAATTTCATGGTGAAAATAGTACAGACTTGGAAAATTTTTTAAAATGGAGAATTGTATAACCCATGAAACAGTAATCTAGAGAAAAGGCAGGAACAGATTAAAAATAAGACCTGTAATAAAGACCTCAGTGTCATTATCTTCCCAAAATATCACAGGTGTTTCAAAGTAAGTGCACAATATCTGGAAGAAGTGCTCACACCCGTGTGTCACTTCCTCAGAGGCCTCTGGATGGATTCAACTCCAAGATACTCAACTTATTTACAGCAAGGAGGAATCAGGTACAGAAATTAATTTACTCCAATTGACAGGACAATCGCTTGGATTACAGCATACCATCCAGTGAGGTCTCTTCATCTCATAATATTTTCCAGAAACCTACAAAATCTCTTCTAGTCATAGTGGTCAGTCCATGGCAGCTCTCAGCTATAAAAACAGCAAGCATGAAGGTATTCCACAGGTGTCTCAACTTCATTCACTCAGAAGAAGATGCTTTCATTACATATTTTGCAACAGACCAAAACCCATATTCCCAAGAGCCACACAGATGCCTGAAGGGCTTGCAGTTTTACAACCAGAACATTTACAGTATTGAAGAGGTTTATCGGGTAAACAGCTGCTGACATTTCTAAATTATGGACTGATACCCCACTTCTAAAAACATGTCTTTGACATTTCACAGCTACTACATCCTCTCCTCATCCACCCCCCAAACTTACTTCATATGAAACAAGTTTTTGTAATTTCATATATATACAGATACATGTGTAAATGATTTTGTTCATACGAGCTGACATGCATGAAGCGTCTCCAGTTTCCTCTGAGGAACAGAAAGAATCAGCATGCTGACAAAAAAGCCAATAGAATGGGAAACTTATTTAGGCAACAGCATATCTATCTGTATTGTCATTCACTTGAAATAACATCCAAAGTTTTTATCTACTGACCCGAACTTTGATCTACATGCAGGAAGTACAACCATGACATCACAGTCCAGTTCACTAAGCAGAATTTGATAAAAGGACTTAATTTTTTTTTTAATACAATAGCCATTTTCAAAATATCAACTCTTAATGCAGCCACAATAAAATGCTGCAAACCATCAGCTACAGTATTTCCATTCTCATTACTCTTCACCCAAAAAGAAATACCGAGCATACCCTGCAACAGTAAAGCTAACAGTTTCTACTGATAAGACAATTATCCAAGAGGAGATAGGAGATAAATGCTAAATAAAAAATTAAAAAAAAAATCAGAATGACTTGTATAAGAAAATTAAACCAACCTCTTGCCAGGAAACAAACATTTCTTACAAGAACAGCAGGATCCCAGAAGTCAGTTTTCAAAAAAAATTCCTTCTTACCTCTGAAAGTTGACTAATATTTCACTAGATATCTAACCACGGTTATAATGACTGCAGTTTCATAAATAACTGGAGGAACTACATATTCTTTTGAGACCATTCCTCTCCTACAAGCTACATCTGTTCCCCCAGTCCACACTAGCTGGTGTGGCTGCCTACAGCAGTCTGGCAGCTCTGCTTGTTCAACTTTGTTGAAAACTGACCCAGCAAAAAACAAAACCAGGCCACAGATTTTGGGCCCGATCTTTGGGTCATACTGAGAGGCATGTTTTCTTGAGCAGTCATGCTAACAGGACTGTTACTGCTGCCCTGGGAAGAAGGTCTCAGTTCCTCTCCTAGACTGGGTTTAGCACTTATCAGATTGAGTCACGTGTTTTCTCCCCCTCTCTGGATGCACAGAAAGATGAAACCCTCCACAATGGAGGAATAATTTCAGGGTTAGGGAGAGGGGATGTGCATGGAATCTACAAGGCGCTTGCACAAGGTAAGCAGTTGAAGCAAGGTAAAAGAGACCCCTCCCATCAGCAGTAATCTCAGCATCTCTGGGAGTCACACCATCTTTTAGGTGTTCAGCACAAAATGCTGAGATGATTTACACAGAAATTAAAACACATCCATGTTAGTGTCCATCTTTGCCATCACTGATTAACTCCACATTGTCAGAGGACTTGAGAAATCAAGAGGCCAGGTCCTATTTATTTTTATTCTATAAGCAACCTTTCAGCTTACCTAAACCGTTCCTTGCATCTTAAGGAAGCAAAAGAAACACAAGGAGAAAGCCGTAAGGAAATAATCATAGAATCA